GATCTCTTTGCAAGCGCATGGATAAGTAAGTACCATAATTCATAGAAACTACACCATTTTAACATTATTCTAAATACATAGTGACTAGTGAGTGACAATCAATCTTGTTCTTGTTTCCTTTCATTTATTTTCAAGAACTAAGGTGAATTAGCCGTTATACTTTCAGTATGGCTATAAACGAAAGATAGTCAAACTTGTTTTAATTATTTTAAAAGTCCCCTGTAGTCAATAATTGTATCCTTTAAAACTCATCTTTGATCACCAAAACGACATATTTAAACGTTTTTCCTTGAAAAAAATTCTTCATGCCTTAAAATAGCTTGATTTTCAAGTACATAATCAATATCCTTTAATTTTTATGGTCATACTTTGTATGTTGTTGTACCAACCACAACATTGCAGAAATAGAAACGGTTTCCAAAACAAAAACTTTGATTACCATGGAATAGACACCTTTAACATGTTTCACAGCAGCATCATGTCTGGTTAGGACACAGTGTTAGTGGAACTTTCTAATGTTGCTCAAGATGATGCAGGTTTGAGTCTGGCCTGCAGTGAGTCCCTCCCTGCTTTTCCAAGTTGCTCTTTGCTATGTCTATATGCCTGTCCAAAGCATGTGTCAACACTCCACCTTCTAAGAACACAGACCCTCGCACACACAATAATTCACTACTTTAGCCCAATCCTTCTCCTTTACTTCCCACTCCCATGCCGCATGGGAAACAAAAGCCACATTTAGCCTGTCCCTGCTGTGTGTTTGCTCTGGAGTGGATGTTCTACAGCACACTGCATTGATGACAGCTGCATGGATACAGTACAACTCAACAATCCATCTCTGGCTGCAATCCACAGTTACATTTCTTTCACATTATGTCTTTCTCATTATCAGAACAATGTACCATTAAAAAAGAACCAGAGCCAAAGGATTTTCATGACTTTTGGTTCTTCTAATGATTCCTGAATGTGGATTCTTCCACTGATGAGGACAGATCACGGTACAGAAATATTTGAACTGTTTCTTGCACTACAATTCGGCAGCACCACAAAACATACAATGCAACCAGTGTAGGCCAATTCTTCAACGAATGACTCTTAAGGCCTGTTCACACCAAGAGGATTGTTCAGTGGGATAAACATTTTTTCATTTGAATGTATCTGTTCAGATCCAACACAAACATTCACATGCCGTCAATGCAATGCAATCTGAACGGCTGATCAAAACGTGTAAATATTGTTTGACTTACTTTCTTCCATAAAGGATTTTCACACCAAACCACGTGTGTTCTTTCTTTTAAACACACATAAACATCTATATATACATTCCTTATGATTCCCGTGAGGGTGTATGAGGCATTAAGATATCAACAGAATAAAGAGATGTTCACACAGAAAGCTCTTTTCTGTTTTTATAAGTAAAAATGCCCTAGACGGACCTCTTTGACTTTTGCGCTCATGTCTCGCATCTTTCCCATCATCTCGCGAATGAGCACTGCGTTGTTAGAATGCGGTCAGAAGGAGTTCAACTTGTCTCAAGACTTTGCATTTTCTTTTTATTCCACTGCCCCATTTTTAAATGCAAAAACCCTTTCTGTGTAAATGGCCCGTAATAAAAGTGAATATTCATACAATATTTAAACACTTCTTTAAAAAAAAATTCAGAGCAGTGTCTCTGACTCAGTCAGACGATGACTGTCTGAAAAAAAGACGTTCCAACTTCTGTCTATGAGTGAGTGCACAAGACAGTCTGCTTCCATTCCACTGTCAGACACTAGTCCCATGAGAAGCTCCAGCTATGCTCTTATCACATCCAGCATGTCACAGTTCCACATGCAACCGGCATTACTTCTGCATGGCTGTATATGTAGGTCACACACACGCACAACCCCACCCACTCATACCTGACACCAATAGATGGCTCATGTTGAGGGTGGGGCAGTGGGGCAGATAGTCACAGTTCAGACCCTCCAGCCATCCCATATTATACAATCTCATAATATACTATATTGTTCACTCTAAACAGTGAATACCTGAGCAGAACACTGAAACGGACACCCTAGTGATCACCCTGTTCCAGAGGAAACTGAGAGTGAGTTCCATTTAAACACGCAATGACTCAATGTAAAAAAAACTGCCGTCCATTACTTCCTCTAGCCACTTCAACATGGAAGCATCAATGATATGGGGTGATACAACTTCTGCTTTTCATAAGCATTAGATTAAGAGTTCTGTGAACAGAGGTCTGAAATCTTAAAGTCCCCCTGTACTGAAAATCAAGTTTTTAATGTTGTTTATGTGGTGTTTTTAATATGCTTTAAGACTAACCATGTGCAAATTCATAAGTCAACACCATTGCTGAGTATTTTCTCCTTAAAACTGCAGTGAACCAAAGACGGTCTCAAAAACACGGTTTGAAATCACTGGTTTCTGAACGTCACAAACTACTATGCAACTAATCACATCAACGAGTGAATCTCTGAGCTGGTGTGAGTGAGTGGAGGCGGAGCTAATTTGCATATTCATAGAACGTGTATAATAAATGAGGCACGGTGAGGAGTTACATTCGAGTTATTTTAAGAATTTTTTTCAATCAAAACAATTGAAATGTCATTTTGGTGATCAAAGATGTGTTAAGGAATAAAATTATTGACTACAGGGGGATTTTAAAGTTGCAATAAAAACCAAAACTGACCCTTTTACCTTATTAATACGCATTTCTGCTCTTATTATGAATGATTGAATGCTGTACATTCAAGCCATAGGACAGTAAGTGTTGTGTGAGGGCAACAGTCGCCTATAAATGTATCCATATGCAGGACCCATCTGGGAATATCCCCTGCAGGACTATATAACGCTGACATTGCAGTGCCATCTCGCATCCTGCTCACCAGAGCCAAATGAATGAAAGTCATACCCCATCCGGCTGCAAGCTAACACAGCAATGCTAACTGAACTGAAATTAACGAAGGACTCCAAGGTTGCATGGCGAGGAAACGTCAGAGCTACGTCCACACAGGCTGAGTCATGAAACAAGCAACTGACTAAAAATAAACCTCAAAGGAGGCAGGTGTGTTCTAATGCGTCACATAGTTTTGCTACAAAAGCAAAAATGTAAACCATTCTACAAATGCAATCAATCCGAAATTTTGACTTAGATTTGATTCCTGTCATTAGTTTGATCAAAAATCACAAACAATCAACTAATTTCACAAAAAAGGGGATACTGTAAAATAAACTTATTTCAATTAACATACATTGCTAATAAGCCCTCAGAAACACCCAAAAATGTCATAACTGTCATTACTTAGTTCCCTTGTGTCATTCCAAACCTGTAAATACCTGAAAATAAAAGATTTGATCTGGATTCTCGAAGACAGAACTTTAAAGAATATTCTGGCCACTCATTTCATTACAATTAAAGAGAATAAGTATTGGTACTCACAGGGTTCTGAGAACATACTGAAATGGTTATTATTATCCATAACCATTCCCCCCATACGTATACATTTTGTATGAAGCCATTTAAAATATCAACCCTGAATTACCTGCTTAAGACAAATATTAGCCAACAACAATTGATGGATTGGGGCATCATTGAACAGTTCTAGGTAAAGCTGCTCATTTAAAAGGAAACATGACACTGTTCTAATGTAACATTATTATCTAATTGGCAAGAATGTATTTCTTCTAAAGAGTCCGGAATGCCTCTGGAATGTGAGGAATGTGGAAACGGTTAATCAGCTAAGGTGCTCTCTCACCCCACAGACACTAAAGGTTTTACTACATGCCGTGTTACGGGCATTAGCGCTGACCTGGACATTAACACTGTCCTGAAATAACTCCCTCTTTCCAATTTCCAATTTAATTCATACCTGCATCAGCATCATCTTACATATTTCAAAATGTAATTCTTTACAAAAAGAGAGGAACTGTCCAAAACCCTTTTCCTTTTGGGTTTAATATCCTGTCTAAGTTTGAGCATTCATTAATCTCCACAGGAACTGACAGTATGACAAAAATTGCAGTATTTTTGGGGATGTCTAAGTAAAAATCTTAAGATTTCAATTAAATTTGTTTACAATTACTTTAAAATCATGAGAATTGTATTCTATTGAAAACTCTAGTTTTTATCGGGTAAGAAATATGTGATTTTATTATTATTTTTAAGGATTATCTAACATTATTCTAATAGTGGTTTAGAAAAAAATAGTCAACTCAACACCATAGCCAATTATTTAATTTTGGGGGAAAAGATGTCTTTATTGTATGACTGTTAACAACTGTATAATTCAGTCTTTATAATTTATATTTTAGGAAGGGGGTCCATTGCAAGGGGATCATAATGTTAAGGGGTGAAAAGATTGACACCTCTTAACCAAAAGGCCTGTTTTACAGAGAGTGGCAATCTGTCTTTCAGTAGGATCTGTTCACCTCACAGACATTAGATGGTGGTAATTCATTAAAATCTCTATGGAACAGTATCTACAAGCAGCTCTATACATTACCATATTAGTGACAGGAGAGGGTGGTGGCCTTCTATCTCCAGTAACACGGAGAGTGAGATAATGCCTTCAGAACAACAGAGGTGGTGGTGTAAATGTGAATAGTGCAATCCCCTTACATTAACTCCAGCCATCAAAAAGAAAAGACAAATGGGAGAAACGGTCACGATGACATTGTGCATTGCCAGAAAAATGAACCGAGCAGGCTAGCAGAACCGATACAGCACTAAATGAGTTTTTTTACATTCACGGTTCAAGAATGCAAACACTCACCGTTGCAAACAAGGCTGCCAGATCTCAGAGTAAGCTGCAAGCATGCAGCATAATGAAACACAAACACAGGCGGCCTGCAAAGTGCCAGCTAAACATCACCTTCCTGGCCAAAACAAACATGCATCCCTCTAGCCTGTCCTAGGACCACAAAAGCAAACAGAGCATCCTCCTGCCTAATAACATGTGAAGTAGAAAAAAAATAGCAGAGAGAAGAAAAACAGCTATTACCGTCCGGTTGGCATCCATTAACACTCTCACTGCTGGACTGCGAGTAGCCCATTTCAGATCTGCGCTGAGTTCCCAGCAGGCCGTTCTTCCGGAGAGCTCGATTACCGGGGCTGCTAAGCGGCGTGGACGTCCCATCTCGCTTTGAGAAGATACCGCTGAAAAATCTAATAAGTTTACGTTCCTGCCCGCTGGAACGGGAGCCCGTCCCTCTAATAAATCCCTCCTTGTCCACCAAAGATTTATCCGACATCTTGAGAAGATCACTGTTGTCCAATGTGCGATTCTTGCCCTTCATCCTCTCCCTGCGGCCCGGCTCCATCATGGAGTCAGTTTTGCTCAGAACCTCATCCACATCCAAAGTGTTTCGCTTCTCAGAGGACTCTGACTCTGCGAACGTCATGTTTTGCAAAACCACGGCGGATTGGGCCAGACTCTCCTCTCCGTTACGGACGATGCAACCTGAGCTGCTGTGGTGCTTCTCTTTGGAGAGCGCCCGTATGCGGATCAACTCTCCACCCGTCCAGTGGCGAAAGCTGAAACTTCTCCGCAGCAGGCTCGGGTGCTTCTTCGGCGGAGGGGTTTGAGGCGCAGGCTTGGGTGACTTCCCATTCCCTTTAGCCAGCAACGAGGAGATGCAGCTCTCCTTGGCCGTCCTGCCACCCTTCGCCTCCCCGGACGTCTCATCTGACCACGTACTGACCGTCTCCTCTGTGCTCCGGGAGGTCTTGAGGACTTTCTTTCTAATGCCTGTGTTTTCTCCATTAGCAGCAGTAGTGCTGCAGATTTCTCCATGCTCTGCATCACGTTTCAGTCTGTCACTTTCAGCTATATCCTCTGCCCTTTTCTGCACTGGTGCCCCATTTTCTTTCCTCTGTCCATTCTCTGGCAGGATGCACGTTTCATTTAATTCTCTGTCTTTATGTAAAAGCTGCGCCCTCCTTGAGATTTTCAACCTACCCAACTCAAGATGTCCAGTACTAAAGGTCCTGAAGTTCCTCATGTATGAGTGCGTAGAAAATTCGTCCGTCTCGTCCTCCACTTCTTTGAGTTCTTCCAGAGCAGAGCTCCGCTGAGGCTCAGAGACCCCCTCCCGCCGGTACGCGCTCACTTTAGGGTTCTCCAGCCGCCGGTGCGCCGACCCTCCGCCATCCTGCAGGTTTTCCTTCTTCACTAATGTCAAAGATATCCGGTACACGGTTTTTCTTTGTGGCGTACCCCGCTCCATCCTTTCCGGGTAATTAGAATCAAGTAAGTACATTCTTCAGAAACCAAATCCAAATAAATGAATTAACGTCAAACAGCCTACGTTTCTAATGTGATTTCACACACAACTTGTGATTCCCAGAGCACATAATAATAACAAAACAATAATAATAATAATAATAATCTTAGCTTTCTGTTGAAAAAGTTGCTTTTTACAAAATCGCTGTGGTGTGCACAAAATCCAAAAAAATGTCCCTTTGCTGTGCCGGTGCGTTCTGACTACTTGCGCTTTCAAAAAAGGATCCCCGTCAAGTCACCTAATCGTCCAATGCAAAGCCCGTCATCATGTTCACAGAAAAGTAAAGTCCGGCTTCAAATTCCTGCTTCCCGCTGCGAGGCTTGTCTGTCTGGGGGGAAATGTTATTGCAACACTGTCCTCCTAAAGCAGAAGAGTGTGGTCTTCCCTATTGTGCCCGTGCATCCCCCGCCGCGCAGCCAGCTTACACCCTTTACACAGGACCGGTCGCGCCTTTGTTTCCCGCCGCGGTGCGTTCCTACTCTCATTCAAATGTAACATGCACGACCCGAAGCTCGCAAAACGAGAGTCCCGAGAAACGAGACAGACAGCCGCAACAGCTACGGATCCATACCCGTCTCTCTCCTCTATCAGCCCCGTGTGCTCCGTATCCACACAAATCATCCAGTTAGAGCCGAAGGAAAACCCGGAACGGATTTCTTCAAAACGCATTCCACACTAGTGCGGTTACATGCGACTTGCATCATTTAATTGTCATGCGGGGAAAAGGCAATAAATCAATATAAAATGCAAGCGTTATGCATTAAATCTGCATGCTAAAAACTAATCTAACCCAATATTTTGTAGCTACCAGTAATGTTTATTATTGGTGCCCGAGAGCAATATCAAACACAGGTTGTATGTCTTAAAATCCTGCACGCATAAATGTGTTATAAAGTAGCAAACCTTTCCAGAGACACAAAGTTGTAATTCATATAAATGTAACAGCTATGCAAGCGTGTGTATTTGCTTTGGTGTGTCAAGAAAAACAGTAAATATGAGTTTGAAGTGAATCTCCTGCGCTGGATGATCCACTCCGGGACACCGCGTTATCCAGCGGACGCGCGGGGGTGGGGTTTCTACTTCTCTGTCCATCAAAACCTTTAAACCCACCCGGGCTCACAGAAGAAAGAAGAAGCGTGCTACAATGTACAAAGTAGTTTTTCTGTGCATATGTTATCGCTTTAAACGGTGTATATTCCCGAAAATCGTTAGCAAAAGGTTGTTTTATTGATGCTATGGCACTAAATTAGGGTAAAAAAAATAGCATCAATGTATGTGGGTACTTTTTCATTTATATAATTTATTTGGTTTTACTTAATTTGTATTATTATTATTATTATTATTATTATTATTATTATAATAAATATATATATATATATATATATATATATATATATATATATATATATATATATATATATATATATATATATATAATTATATATAATTATTAATATTTATTAAAACGGTTCATTGCACTTCCACATAGGCCTACTAAAAAAATCCATATATTCTCTCAATGCATATAGTATATGACAGTATAAAACAGTAGGACTAATCAGTAGAGAGACTAGGACTAAACAGTAGGACTAAAATATATGGACTAATCACATCATGTTTCATAAGCAGTCAGAACACACTTGAGGTCGAGGAGCACTTTCATCTGCCCTCGGGCCACCTCTCCATCACCCCCCTTGTCTCTCTCTGAGGAGGGAGGTGTGGATGTGGAAGATTACCCCTCTTATCTCACCGCTCAAATCCCTGTCTTCCTTTCGCCTTCAATCCAGGCCTGACATTTGTGGAATCTTCACAGAGATTTAGGCGGATTAGAAGCAGCTCATTAGGATCCATTCTGTACAGTTTTTCTCACCATCACCTCTCCCCTGTCCTCCCCATAACTCAGCAATGGAGCCCCACTTGCCTCTGTGAAGCTTCCATCTACTCCAGCAGTCTTCATCTACTCCCCTGTCCAAAGACCGAATTTTGTTCATCTTAATACAAGATACAGATATAAAAGTTGTGAAACCTGTTTTGTCAAAACCATAAAAGTTATTAACATTATTCCAATGACTAGAATAGTTTCAATTTCAAATAAATGTAAATATCATAATCATTTATATATATATATATATATATATATATATATATATATATATAGAAAAATCAGACACGTTTAAAATTCATACTATATATTTTTGGGAGTCGCACCACATGACATTTTACAACCTGAACTACTGTAACCTATCTTGTCATAAAAGGTCACATTTCTCTCTTTTTTTTTTTAAACGTATTGACTTTGACGCACATAAATCATAAAAACTATGAAATTATTTCTTGTTTTTACCACATTTTTTGGTTCCACCATATGATTTATCATTTAGCGGACAAAAGGTTTTCAAATATTAATATAAGTTGTGACACACTTAAGTATTAATATATAATATAAAAGTCTTATTAAAAAAAATTTCGAAGAAATAAAAATAAAAGACGTGTCAAAATATTTTTTTTTGTAGAACTTGCTTCTTGTAATGAGACGTTTTTCTTTTCCAAAAAAAAAAAAAAATCATTTTAATTCAGAAATGAAAAACATGATAATCTTAAAAGAGGTGTATTCAAGTCAGTGCATGTATGAATGAAATAATCGACAGGGCATGTCAGCCTTATCGACATAGACCCACACACCAAACGTCATCCAGTTCCTTCAATATTGCTCTGATCGTAGGACTTCAAAACTCTGCACTAGCGAGGCTATAGAAAATCAGTTTAGGCAAATTATACAAGAAGTCCGACTTCAAACAAGCCTCGTCCTTTCATCACCTCCACAGGACTGTCATAAAGAGATGCAAGCTTAAAAGCCTAGGTATGCACTTATACTCTCTTGATGCAACATCGCCCTTCACGTTCTATCGTCAATGTGACTGCATGACTTCATACCTCCTGAATACTTTAACACAGAGAATGGAATATAAAGCAGGCACATATGAAATATACAACAGACATGAACAAGCATGTTTCTATCTTCACTATCATATGCAGTTGAATAAAAATGACGATGGGGTACAGTTATTTCGAAAGGCATGGGGCAGCGCTGGCGACCCAGGGGCTTGACTGATTGCAGAAACATTCTCCAGTGTAGGATTTCCCACTGTATGCCATGAAATAAAAGGAGCACCGCTTGCCTTACACTAGTTACAAACACTGAGAATTTGCCTAACGCGGCTTCAAACATGCATAATTCAACTGCACCAGTTTCTTATCTAAATGCACAAACTGTAATATCCTAAAGATAACACAATTAGAGATCATGCTTGCAAATGTAGAGCATTGGGGGGAAAAGAGTTGGATATCTATACAGCCAACATTGTCTAGAGTATTCTGGGTCTGTTTTTTTCCTCCTCATTTTTTTTTTATTCATGGCCAAGAAACACAGGATTCGGATAATTGCCGTGCAGACCATGAAAGCTGCTTTAATGAAATTATGTTTCGAGATCCCTGGTCTGAAGATGTTGTTCTGTGAAGAACCACCTGTCTTCTCAGCAGGCCAAAAGAGCCCACACTGTTTTAGTGAGCTCTGAGAGTGCCTTGCTTGGACTTCAAATATACTACACAAGCAAATCTCCCACATTCACCATAAAACGCAAACCAACGCTTTGTAGCAAAAACCATAGAGTATTAAATGTGTGAATGTTCAATTAGGGATGCACAATGTTAAATTTTGGCCATGGAAAATATGATAAACCAATAATTACTTTCATATTCGATAACCAATAAATGGTCAATATTACAATTTTAGACCATTTTAATAAATACATTAATAATAAAAATCTCAAAATCAAGCTTAAAAAGTCAAAACTAAAATCAATGCTGATTTTAAGTGAATTTAGGCATTGCAACAATGTACAGTTTGAAAAATGGAACGTTATCATGATTATTTGCTGAAGAATTCATTGAAGGTGTTATAGTAAATGCTGGGGGGGGGGGGGGGGGGGATTAATTGGGGCTAACTGATTGGAGAAAACAGAAACAAGGCTGTTGTCTTCTGTTTTGCTAAAAAGGCAGGAATAAATCAACACCCATAATGCAAAGGGCATGTTGCTGTCCGACCAGTCTGCTATTGATAGGCTTACCAGAGTCAAATACTACTTTGCTAAGTACTAGTATTTCCTACTATAGCAAACTTTTAGTCATAATAGTGTCGACTTATATCGTTCCCGGGAGCAAGAATTCAAAGAGTAAACGTTTAGCGGGACTGAATTACTTCCAATGCGCTGTAGGCAGGGGCTAAAGGCTGCAAAGAATCGTAAACATGGAGAAAATGGTGATGAAAATCAGAAAAACCTCAGTGTTTGTAGATAACATTTCAAACTGGATGACCACGAACAGTTTTAGGCCAAATTGAGGTTCTTTCAGTTCCACCCAAACCTCCGAACCAAAATCCCGTCGCGTACAGGTAAGAAAGCTGTTGCCATAGTATTCCATTTTTACCATTATGTTGTTTAAAAAGTAGACAATGTACAATACATTTTTGGTTAACCTACTCATATAATAACAGTTCAGTTAACAACCCTCTGTCGATCAGACTGTCTGTGGGCGGGAATACAAAAAAAGGGGTTTTAATTCTGTATTTTTCACGGAAGCCAAGAGGCTGTCAAAAGTCTTTTCCTTACTTTGACAAACAAACGTGAATATCTAGGTTCAGATAACACGGAGAATGAGTAAACATTGTTCATTTACATAATACCGACATTGTAACAGTTTGTAAAAGTTTAAATAACTTTAAATAATTAGAGTTTATTTAGAAATAAAAAGTCTTTTGCATTTTACAACGGGTGAATCTGTTGTCACTGGTGATTGTCGTTTGAACCTTTCTGGATCTGCCATCAAATTGATAAGTTTAATTATATCAAGTGCTGTGAGAAAAGGCTATAAATCTCCACCTCCAGCATCCTCGCACGCAATACAGCCTACTAGCCGAGACTCCTTCTTTATGTACAGATGTGACGTAATGACGCAAAGACATGCTCGAATCCAGTACCACT